ATATCTAGTCTATTTGGATTGTAAACCTCATCACTAATAGTTCATGAAGGTAAAATACCTGTAAATATCACCTTTATCGTTATTAGCTGAGAAATACATATGAGGGTGCAAGACAATAGACTCAAGTAACAAAAGAGAGAGCATGAGAGAGACACTGACTGTAAGTACTATGGCTTATAACCAAAGAAGAATAAGCTAAGATTTGTAGCATTCGATCTTTAAAAATGTCTTTCTATTCCTTTAATAATAGAACTTTACCCTTCCATAGCATATTTTATCTGAAGGTCCCAAATCATGTTACACATATTAGTTAAGCCAAATAACACTATGAGAGAGAGGCAAACAGCATCAGTAAACCTTTTTTATAGAATGACTAGTGGAGTTATTAGTTCAGATTCTCAAGTGGTGTAAACTGCTGTAGCTCCAATAAAGTCAATAGAGCTACACCAATTTACAACAGCTGAGAATCTGCTCTACAGAGTAGTTGGATCAACTCAAGCTCTGCACGGCTAAAACAGAGCTCTTACTCTTCCCCTCCACCCAAGTCATTGTCCTCGTATCCTTTCTCAATCACTGTGGGCATCACCACCATCCTTCTGACACTCAGGCCCATAAGTTGGGCATCATCTTTAACTTTGAGCTCTCTCTAGGTCCTCACATCCAGGCTACATCCAAAGCTCTCTTATGAGATTACTGGTTCTGTGGATGAAGGGAAAGCAGTGGATGTATTGTTTCTTGACTTTAGCAAAGCTTTTGGCACGGTCTCCCACAGTATTCTTGTCAGCAAGTTAAGGAAGTATGGGCTGGATGAATGCACTATAAGGTGGGTAGAAAGCTGGCTAGATTGTCAGGCTCAACGGGTAGTGATCAATGGCTCCATGTCTAGTTGGCAGCCGGTATCAAGTGGAGTGCCCCAAGGGTCGGTCCTGGGGCCGGTTTTGTTCAATATCTTCATAAATGATCTGGAGGATGGTGTGGATTGCACTCTCAGCAAATTTGCGGATGATACTAAACTGGGAGGAGTGGTAGATACGCTGGAGGGGAGGGATAGGATACAGAAGGACCTAGACAAATTGGAGGATTGGGCCAAAAGAAATCTGATGAGGTTCAATAAGGATAAGTGCAGGGTCCTGCACTTAGGACGGAAGAATCCAATGCACCGCTACAGACTAGGGACCGAATGGCTAGGCAGCAGTTCTGCGGAAAAGGACCTAGGGGTGACAGTGGACGAGAAGCTGGATATGAGTCAGCAGTGTGCCCTTGTTGCCAAGAAGGCCAATGGCATTTTGGGATGTATAAGTAGGGGCATAGCGAGCAGATCGAGGGACGTGATCGTTCCCCTCTATTCGACATTGGTGAGGCCTCATCGGGAGTACTGTGTCCAGTTTTGGGCCCCACACTACAAGAAGGATGTGGATAAATTGGAGAGAGTCCAGCGAAGGGCAACAAAAATGATTAGGGGTCTAGAACACATGAGTTATGAGGAGAGGCTGAGGGAGCTGGGATTGTTTAGCCTGCAGAAGAGAAGAATGAGGGGGGATTTGATAGCTGCTTTCAACTACCTGAAAGGGGGTTCCAGAGAGGATGGTTCTAGACTGTTCTCAATGGTAGCAGATGACAGAACGAGGAGTAATGGTCTCAAGTTGCAGTGGGGGAGGTTTAGATTGGATATTAGGAAAAACTTTTTCACTAAGAGGGTGGTGAAACACTGGAATGCGTTACCTAGGGAGGTGGTAGAATCTCCTTCCTTAGAGGTTTTTAAGGTCAGGCTTGACAAAGCCCTGGCTGGGATGATTTAACTGGGAATTGGTCCTGCTTCAAGCAGGGGGTTGGACTAGATGACCTTCTGGGGTCCCTTCCAACCCTGATATTCTATGATTCTATGATCCTTTCTGGATAACATCTCTAAGGGCTTATCTTCACCACGGAGCTAAATTGACACTGCTGCAATCGATGCAGCGGCATCAATTTAGCGGGTCTAGTGAAGACATGCTTAATCGATGGGAGAGTGCTCTTTCATTGATTTCTGTACTCCATCTCAATGAGAGGCAGAAGCAATATCGGCAGGAGAGCATCTCCCGTCGACACAGCGTAGTGTGGATCCCACAGTAAGTAGATCTAAGCTATGTCGACTTGAGTTATGCTACTAATGTAACTCAAATTGCGTAGCTCAGATCAACCAGCAGGGGTAGTGTAGACCGTCGACACAGCGTAGTGTGGATCCCACGGTAAGTAGATCTAAGCTATGTCGACTTGAGTTATGCTACTAATGTAACTCAAATTGCGTAGCTCAGATCAACCAGCAGGGGTAGTGTAGACCAGGTCTAAGATAAGACCTTTCATATCTATCCACACAGCTAAAATTCCCATCGAGGCTCTGATCATCATGTCTCAGTTACAGCAACATCCTTCTCTCTAGTTCTGACAAATGCAGTCTTGCCCTGCTCACATCCATGCAGAATGCTGCTGCAAAGATTATTCTTCTAGTCCATTTCTTTGACTGTTACCCCTTTGTTCACATCCCTCTACTGGCTCCCACTTCTTAATCACAGCAAATATAAAATACTTGTCTTCACTTTCAAGGCCCTTCACTGCCTAGCTGCACCCTATCATCTCCCATTCACTGTCAAGATGAAAACTCCTGCCTCTGATAGGCCCATGATGCCAGTTTCCATTGCCCACTTGTTACATTTTCAAAACAACCACTTTTGTGCTTTCTCCCATACTGTCCCTTACTCTTGGAGGATCTCCTTGTAAACATCCACAAAGCTACCTCAGAATCTTCCTTCAAAATTCTCCCTCACTGTGATGCCTTAAAAAAAAAACCTGAACAAAGGCTAGGCCACTGGTGTGCTGACACCATTGCCTGGGAGAGTTACTGGTGTACAAGACTCCAACTCAACTGCAGGTTTTCCTACCTTTCCACCCTGACAGAAGGTGCAGACTTTTCAAGTGGCCCCTCACCTTTACATGCAAATTAGTTTGGAACTGTCGTCTTTGTGCCTACATACAAACATCTCCATTTCTCCTTCTGAACTCCTGCACCAAAGGTGGCTAAAGTGTACTTTTCAGAGTTTTATAAGAATCACATGGCTATGCTCATTTTAACAGTGCAATCCATGAATATGACTACTTTAGAGTGACTGCAATCTGATCCACAGTGTAAAACAGTATGTAGCCCTTGCTCTTGTGACAAGTTTCCAATCTGGCTCTTGGTTAGGTAAACTCTGAGCATCCCTGTTCCACATGGCTCAAAAGTCATGTCCAGACTAATACTCTGAAGTTTAACTTTCAAATATGCATGCATGATTACTAATGTGGATGCAGGGTTTTAGGGGACCAGTAAAGGTAGCTGAAATAGTTATGGAGAATATCCTTTATTATGAATGTATTTGCTATTTGTATAGTGTCGAGAGTGTGCTACCATTGTAATGACCATAATAATAGCAAAAGTCACTTTCTTATTCCCATGGCTATGACAATGGGAGAATTGCTTAGAAGCCTAAAGTTCTCTAGAGGAAACATATTCAGTACTGACCATACAAAATAATGACATCTGAAGGGAATATTTTGAACTATTCATACACATTACAATTAACTGGATCAAGTCATGAAAAAGCCTAGGATGAAATTTTAACCTCAATAAAGTCAACGTCAAACATAACCCTGACTTCAGTCAGGACAGACTTTCACCTCAGCTATCATTGTGGGGAGCTCAATGAAGACCTCCATACGATGCTCAGTGATCGTTAAAAACACCAAACCGAATATTAGGATGCATAAGAATAAAATGGAAAATATTATGCTCTTTTAGAAGTCAGTGGCGCACCCTCATCTGGAATTCTGTGCTCTGGTTTGGTCACTCCATCTTAAAAGAGATTATAGTAGAAATAGAGACAAAGACTGGAGATGAGAAGGATTAGGGGCAAGGAAAGACTCTCATATGAAGAGAACTTGAAAAGATTGGGATTATAGAAGAGATAAATGTGAGGAGATATGATAAAAAGTACACAGAATAATGAATGGGACAATGATAATCCAAGAACAAGGGGACATCCTATGCAACTGAAAGGTGGTAAATCCAAACCCGGTAAAAGGAAATACTCTTTCATACAAAAATAATTAGCCTATGGAACCCATTGTCACAACATATCAGAGGCCAAGTGTTTACCAGAATGCAAAAAAAAAAATTGACATTTACGGGGAGTATATTTACATAAATAATAATCAGTACCAAAAGCCAAGCACTTTGGAAGTGATATAAACTCTTCAGCTTCAGGGCATGAGCCAATCTCTCATTACTGAGGGTTAAGAGGACACCTCAAAGTGTCCTCCTAACAGCCTACTGCAGGGCTTCTTCCTGAAGCAGCTGATATTGGTCATTGTCGGAGAATGGAAGCATGTCCCTTGGAATGGTGGTTGAACCATGAATCTTTAGCACTTCTGACACATAAATATCTTGCAAAGCCGCTACAACAGTTCCATGCGAGTGCCTGTTCTCACTTTCAGGTGACACTGTAAGAAAGAAGCGGGCAGCATTATCTCCTGCAAATGTAAACAAAGTTGTTTGTCTGAGTGATTGGCTGAACAAGAAGTAGGACTGAGTGGACTTGAGGGTTCTAAAATTTTACACTGTTTTATTTTTGAATGCAGGTTTTTTTGTACATAATTCTACATTTGTAAGTTGAACATTCATGATAAAGAGATTGCACTACAGTACTTATATTAGGTGACTTGAAAAATACTATTTTGTTTGTTTTTTTACAGTGCAAATACTTGTAATAAAAATAAATATAAAGTGAGCACTGTACACTTTGATTTCTGTGTTGTAATTGAAATCAAAATATTTGAAAATGTAGAAAACATTCAAAAATATTTAAATAAATGGGATTATATTATTCACAGTGCGATTAATCGCGATTATTTTTTTAAATCATTTCACAGCCCTACTTAACATACTGTATTTGGGCTCATGCCATCTTTTTTTCCTTTTGATGCAGGAATCAGGACCTAAAAGAGCTTGGGGACCTTGCTCCACATTGGGACAATATGCGTAAAAATGTTATTGCACACTGTGAACAGATGCTCAACATGTACCAGGACACTCTTGCAGATCTCGAGAAACATACAGGTATGGAAATAGTTTCTATCCTCCATCAAAGGTAATGAGTATCTTGTAAAATGGACATTTCACTCGAATGTATTAAAAGAGAATTAAACACAATTCACAATGGGAGTAGTTGGTGGGGAAAGAGGAGAGATTGTATATTGTGTGTACAAGTTGTATATTGCAAAGGGGGTCAGTTTGGAGTTACATGCCCACATCCTGTCATATGTTACTAAAATGTGTACATACAATTCCCACACAAACAACTTTGAAAAAATGTAGTAGCTTGTTCTTCCAACATTTCTGAGGTACTAATAAGCACCCTACTTCTGGGCACATTTCCTGTCAAAAAGTGAAGTCTGCACTACCTTTCGTGCACCTCAGTTCATTTTCAGGATTTGCACAGTTCATAATCATACCAGTGAGAAAACCACATTGGACAGTAGGTTTGTCTGACATCCAGATCATTACTCCACATACAGTATCCTACAAGTAGTCCACACAGCTTGTTCACTGAGCCAACCAGTCACTAAAGATATTAAAGAGTAACAACGAAATGCAGCCACATTTTCAAGAACATCTGTTGATGGAGTTGCATTTAAAGGTCTATCAGCCAGCATCAGATCCCATATTTCCCCTCCCTGATGTGTTAGAGGCATTGCCCACAGCCAGGAAAGCATTGAACTCTTAGGACTGGCAACCTATCATCAGACAGTTGCTGTGAATTACCACCGGGGTCCAAAAGTGCAGCTATTTGCAACTCTACTTTTGCCATACAGGAGGTATTATGTGCTGGTGTGAAGTGCAAACGATAATTGCCTTGGTGCTGGCTCTGTAAATATACTATGCACCACTCTGCCTATAGACTGCAATGCATAAAGAGGGGAGTTTGTCCATGTGCCTGCAAACTCAGTACAACATCTGTGACAAATTTACTGTGCACTATATGCATGGGAAATTGGCTAGTTTCTCCACCAGCAAGACACACACCAAACAAGAGCTGAGCAATTAATGCATAATAATTAACTCCTTCAGTGGCACCTTAGAGACTAACCAATTTATTTGAGCATAAGCTGTAGCTCACGAAAGCTCATGCTCAAATAAATTGGTTAGTCTCTAAGGTGCCACAAGTCCTCCTTTTCTTTTTGCAAATACAGACTAACACGGCTGCTACTCTGAAACCTGAGAAAAATGGAGTAACCACAGTTTTAAAGTGAATGTTTACCTCAAACAATGCACAGCAGAGTAATCTCCATCTGTATGCTGAACTGGACACAAGTAATTATGCCATAATTGCCACCTTGTGTAAAATATTTCAGAGACAAGTCTTTCTTCTCCAAAATGTTAATGGTTGAAAAATTCACTTTTATCATTCTTCCTTCTTCCCGTTCAATACTGAGCATACTATAACACCTACACACACACACCAGGGCCGTCCCTAGAGATTGTGGTGCGCTATGCAGCCCCCCTGCGGGGGGAGTGGGCTTCCGGGGCGGGAGTGGGCGTCCCAGGCTTCCACAGGGTGGGGGGCTGCGCCCAAGGGCTTTGGGAGGCAGGAGCAGCCAATGCAGGAAGGCAGCAGGGGTCGGGCCTGCCCCCGCACTCATGGGTAGGTGGGAAGTGGAACGACCCGGCCCCAGCCTGCTCTGCTCTGCTCCCCCGGCTCCCAGGCTTGGGGGAAGGTGGGAAGGGCTCACCGGTGGCACGGCTGGGAGCCGGTGGAGTGGAACGGGCTGGGGCTGGGTCACTCTACTTCCAGCCGCCCAGTGAGTGCAGGGCAGGCCCGACCCCGGCCCCTGCTGCAGTCCCCTGGGATGCATAGCTCAGGGGACAGGGTTTGGGGGGAAAGGGGGAAGTGGGGGCATGGCGGGGGCAGAGCAGAGGTGGGAAGAGGCAGGGTGGAGGCAGAGCAGGGATGGGGCTGAGGGGACGGGGTGGGGCAGGGGCGGGGGCAGCTTTCCTGGGCCCTGCTGTGCACAGCCCACGAGCGGCCAGCTCAGCTGTCTGGGGGATTGGGCTGGCTGCTAAAGCAGCATGCAGCTGCGTGGGACACCAGGAAATTTGTTGCCATTTGGTGCCCCAAATTTCCTGGTGCCCTATGCAGCTGCATAGTTTGTGTATGGGTAGGGACGGCCCTGACACACACACACACACACACACACACGAAAGCTTTTGCTCAAATAAATTTGTTAGTCTCTAAGGTGCCACAAGTACTCCTTTTCTTTTTACACTCTCTCTCTCACACACTCACTCTTACACCCCCACCCCCAAAGAAGATCTGTTCAGAATAGCTTTCCATTGGACTAGATGCTATATAAACATCAGAGAGTCACTTGTCTGCAAGTATATGGTTAAGAGGTTGCATTAGTCAAAGGGTTCATCTGCCATGCTCTGAAGTATTTTGTACTGGCCATTACTGTAGGCAGGATACTGCAATAGATGAACCACTGGTCTGATCCATTATGGCAATTCCTATGTTCCTTTCTTTGAACCGAGACAGAGTTTTTGAAATATTTTGTTAATGTATTATATTTTGAAGGTGTCCCATATATCATCATACACAAAGCAACAAACACAGAATTTTTATGAAGTCAATAAAAAAAACCCAGCACTTCTAAGAAAACATTCGAATAACCTTTCAAGATAAAAAAAGACAATATAGTATATTAAACATAAATCTTGAAAAACTGGTAATACGCCAACTTTCTTTGAGCACGTTGATGAAGCTTATTAATCTGTTTTAACTGTGTTCTGAGATTACAGAAACAGATCATAGAGTCTAAGGTTATTTATGAGAACAAAAGAAGCATATACAACAAAGATACCAAAAGAAAACTGATAATATGAAGATGGTAAATAAAATATGAACAGATAATAAGTAGAAGGCTAACACTCAAATCCCTCCTTAAAACTTACTACTTCCTCAAGATCTTTTAGTGCTAATCTACCACTGAAAGATGTTTGATTGAGATGCATAAAAATGTGCTGCTTTAACGTTGCCTTCCAAAGTGGCATAATTTGCTATTTTAAAAAATTGACTTTAGTGGAACCATTGAGATGTGTGCACTTACCATAGTCAAGTAACTGTATAATGTTTTGCTGTGACCATTGCATTTCTTCACTTCATCTTCCTTGTTATTTTTTTATTTTCACTTATTGAGTTACAGTAAAATTATATTATAAACTTGTCAGGTTAGGGATCATACCTGTGTATTTGCTCTGAAAGTCCTTGCACACTTTTGCGCACTGCATAAGTCATAAATATTTAATATTCCATACCGAGACCCCACACCTGCATTCTACTCTCTGAGAGCAGTGCAGGATCAAGCTCCAAAAATGTATGTTTAGATGTATGTGTTGCCCACTTACGGCTCCAAAAGTCAGGGAATGCTTGCCCATGAAGCCTTCGCTGAGATTCAGTATTGTGCCTCTAAGGGTATGTCTCCACTTTGGAGTTAGCCTGGGTGATTTGCAGGTTAGCCTAGCTTGAGTTTGAGCAGCCATACTGCAGAGCCGTACCCTAGTTACTGTGTCCTCACTCGTGCTGCACTCCCCAGCGTGTGTCACTGAGACTTCTGGGGGCATCTCCCATGGTTCGTATGTGCTGCAGTAAGGTGAACCGCTCTATGTTTCTGTCCCAGGGAATTTTAAAGGAACTTGTCTGGCCCACATGGGGAACTGTGGGAAGGCTACAATAGAGGACTATCATGCATTCAAGTGATTTAGCGTGCATCCTCACTGCAAAGTGGTTGGATTACCAATCTGTGTGAAAGAGGAACCAGGGCTTTAACCCAGATGTTTAGCCATGTTAGCTAGCCCCATTTGGAAGTACCACTTAACTCAAGTGCCTTGGGTATGTGAAGAGGAGGGGGCTTAGGGGCACTGTCCAAATAAATCCTGCAGTCAAGACATACCCTTTAGAGGCATACCACAAAACTTCAGCCTGGGGGTCGGGGAGTGCTAAGGTGGCTTTAAGCCACCTTTGTGCCTATCTGATCCTGGGCTTGTCCAGGGACTAGAGAGGCCTCCGGTGTAACTTAGGCCCCCAGGGCTGTCTGAGTTATGACAGTTTCCTGGGCTGCAGGCCTGCCTGGAATCTACGGGCACACCTGTGTGCCAGTGCTTGCAAGGTGCCCCTGAAGAGGCAGCTGACTCTAGTTCCTATCCCAAGGGAGTCCTCCTCTGCCCAGATACGGAGCTTTTAGGTCCCGTTCGTTATTCTCCAGCCCTGTTATATGGTGTAAAGTGGCTAGAATGAGGGTGAGGAACTCACCCCTTGACATTGACCCCTTGAGTATATGATGCAGCCTTTAATTACATCCTAGCCACTATGGATGTTGAAGCCCTCTACACCAACATTCCACACAAAGATGGACTACAAGCCGTCAGGAACACTATCCCCGATAATGTCACGGCAAACCTGGTGGCTGAACTTTGTGACTTTGTCCTCACCCATAACTATTTCACATTTGGGGACAATGTATACCTTCAAATCATGGGCACTGCCATGGCCCCGCAGTATGCCAACATTTTTATGGCTAACTTAGAACAACGCTTCCTCAGCTCTCGTCCCCTAATTCCCCTACTCTGCTTGCACTACATTGATGACATCTTCATCATCTGGACGCATTTTAAAGAAGCCCTTGAGGAATTCCACCATGATTTCAACAATTTCCATCCCACCATCAACCTCAGCCTGGACCAGTCCACACAAGAGATCCACTTCCTGGACACTACGGTGCTAATAAGCGATGGTCACATAAACACCACCCTACACGGGAAACCTACCGACCGCTATGCCTACCTACATGCCTCCAGCTTTCATCCAGACCACATCACATGATCCATTGTCTACAGCCAAGCTCTACAATACAACCGCATTTGCTCCAACCCCTCAGACAAACACCTACAAGATCTCTCTCAAGCATTCTTACAACTACAATACCCACCTGCTGAAGTGAAGAAACAGATTGACAGATCCAGAAGAGTACCCAGAAGTTACCTACTCCAGGACAGGCCCAACGAAGAAAATAACAGAACGCCACTAGCCATCACCTTCAGCCCCCAACTAAAACCTCTCCAACACATCAAGGATCTACAACCTATCCTGAAGGACGACCCATCACTCTCACAGATCTTGGGAGACAGGCCAGTCCCTGCTTACAGACAGCCCCCCAACCTGAAGCAAATACTTACCAGCAACCACACACCACACAACAGAACCACTAACCCAGGAACCTATCCTCGCAACAAAGCCCATTGCCGACGGTGTCCACATATCTATTCAGGGGACACCATCATAGGGCCTAATCACATCAGCCACACTATCAGAGGCTCATTCACCTGCACATCTACCAGTGTGATATATGCCATCATGTGCCAGCAATGCCCCTCTGCCATGTACCTTGGCCAAACCAGACAGTCTCTATGTAAAAGAATAAATGGACAGAAATCAGATGTCAAGAATTATAACATTCAAAAACCAGTCGGAGATCACTTCAATCTCTTTGGTCACTCGATTATAGACCTAAAAGTGGCAATTCTTCAACAAAAAAAACTTCAAAAACAGACTCCAACGAGAGACCGCTGAATTGGAATTAATTTGCAAACTGGATACAATTAACTTAGGCTTGAATAAAGACTAGGAGTGGATGGGTCATTACACAAAGTAAAACTATTTCCCCATGTTTGTATCCCCTTCTCCCCCTCCGCTGTTCCTCAGACGTTCTTGTCAACTGCTGGAAATGGCCCACCTTGATTATCACTACAAAAGGTTTTTTCCCCCCTGCTCTCCTGCTGGTAATAGCTCACCTTACCTGATCACTTTCCTTACAGTGTGTATGGTAACACCCATTGTTTCATTGTCTCTGTGTATATAAATCTCCTCACTGTATTTTCCACTGAATGCATCTGATGAAGTGAGCGGTAGCTCATGAAAGCTTATGCTCAAATAAATTTGTTAGTCTCTAAGGTGCCACAAGTCCTCCTTATCATCACATACTGTTTCTTCAGTAATACAATACAGTATCATACCACTTGTATGCATCCTGAGATATACTTTTTATTCTTTGGAACTGTAATTTCATTATCATAAAGGTACATCTTAATTGATAGAGGTTTTTTAAATCTCTTCAAGAAACGTTGCAAGTTTTCTCAGCACTTACATACTAAACAGTTTCTTTTGACCCAAATCACAGATGTCATTATGTGTAATGTAATAACTCAGGTGATAAGGTTTATCTAATTTATCTGTGAAGTTAGGTGTCCTATATAACAATATACTTTCACTATTCTCTGCTGTGTAGCTGGGTCCCAATCCTTCAGAGACTTATACACACACTTAACGTTCTGCTCTGTGAGTAACCCTTCCTCTGGATTTACTGACTATCTCCTTATCTCTTTTTAACATATATCTTCACACACAAACAGAATGTTTCATTCTGTTTCACACTCCCCTCAAAAAATTCCATTTCATTCTACATCATATCAATTATTTATGCAAAAGTACTCTTTGATATCTTACAGCCAGATACTGTGAGGTGCTAAGCACCTCCTTTGAGACATTGATTGCTGTCAAGTTGAGTATTTACAGCCTTGTCTGAAAACTGAAACTTGTAAAGTTCTTGGTATTTCTTCCATGATAATTGCTAGACATGTACAGTATGCCAGCATTACCACCAACTGTTTTTCATTGATAAAGTGTGAAAATACCAAATATTTGACATCTCAGAATCAGGAGGAAACCTTTCTGCCTGTGCTGCTGATTTATAGCTACATTGTCAGTCATGTTGTTTCCCTGTCTTCCACTGACAACATTAGTGTGTGTCCCAATCCCCTTGACAATCAAATCGGTACAGGCATTTCCTTCACTGTAAACCGAGTGTTGGTTTTATAATAAGCTTTCCTCCTTTCATTTTACAAATTGTCAATTAAGTTCTCATGTTTTCTTGTCACATATTAATATGTTTCTGTAGAACAATGTATTTATTGGTTCCTGTATACAATCTCACCACCCATTATTTGTTTTAATTTGTTTTTATCACAATTTTTTCTTCCTCAGCTTTTTCCCTATAGACTACATTGCACTCTTCTCTCCCACAAAGGGATTCATCTTTCCACATGCTGTTTTCAGAAATGTGTCCCTAGACTTTTTCAGTAAAATAAGATGATAATGCAGAATAAAATTAAATGCATATTTTAACCTGTCCTGCCTGGGTTTTCTTCTTTATTGGAGGAGGGGGAGGGGGAAACAAGAAAAGGAGTGTGGTGCTTGATATTAACATGTAAAAAAATAAGGGTCAGAAGTCTCTGTGGTCCTATATATACAAATCTGGTTTATTCATTACTTCATTTTCATTGTTTAGAGGAAAATGTAGGATTAAAGGAACACTTTCAAGATTGTCAAACCCAAAATATTACTTATGGTACCTTTAAAATTACAAATGTAATTTTGCTACAATTCCTGAATCTCTTTTCCCCCAAAATGACTTTGAATGCAAATGGAAAATGCCCACACTCCTGTGTGGTCTTAGAAAAACAAAGCCAGAATAGCATTTCTCTGCAAGCACTACAGATAATGATAATTTTCAATACAGTGCTTAATCATAAGAACAGACAGGCATAGAAAGGGCAAATTACAAGCTACTACATCATGTATATATACCATCAAAAATCAGCTGGTAAATTAGCTTTTTGGCCTACCAGTATTGACAGTGTTCCTTTAAACATTCAAAATAACTTTACTTAGTTACTCATAATCTCATATTTTAGATGTGATGATTATAAAGTGTATAGTCAAATCTTTTCAGCACATTGTGGGTAGTTTATTATCACGTTGTCATTTTAGAAAGAGGGTGTATTTATAATGACTTCTACTGAAATGTGAACAATTCAAAGTTTTTTGTTTGCACTTTCAGGAAATAATATTCTAGTCAGTACATTTGTTTTGCTTTTAAAAAAAATTGAAAGTTCTCACTTGCTAGTGGAAATATGTAGTGTCATATCTCTATGCCCCTGTATTTTTAGCACAATATAAACTCAATATATGTTAACTGTGGCATCATTTCCAGCATGCTGTGGACTAATTCTAGGAAGCAGGAACAATGTCTCTCAGCAAATTAGATTGTTCTGTGAATTAAAAGCTGTTTTGTTGACTGGAATATGGATGCATGCTGAGACGCAGTTAGCAAACCATTCTTTTCTTAATACACGATTACACATTGAAAGTAAATTAAAGAATGCCACTAACGTACAAGTATTGTCCTAACATTTAAAAAAAAAGACAAAACATCTGCTGGGTGCTTGAGATAATGATGCTTTAAACTTTTGTTTTCTAGGATCTTCTTTCAAATCAAGTTGTAGTAAAGGAGAAAAGACACTAGAATTTGTTCCAGTAAATCTCCATCTGCAAAGAATGCATGTGCACAGTCCTCGGTTGAAAGGTAAAGTATATTCCAGAGAAATGTTCTAGTTGTGTCACACTACAGTGTGGTTTATATATAATCAGAAAGTTTGTATTCCTTTTTAACCCTTTATAAACTCCATGCATTTTAACTCATAGTGGTGCTGTTCAAAAATCTCCAATTTCTTCGATAATAAACCATTGTAACTTGACAAAGAAGAATGGTGCTTAGACAGGTGTCTCTTCAGGTTAGGCACTATATTTTCAATAGTACTAAAACACTTTTTTCATATAATGCCAAATCTTGGTCACTTTGAGGTAATTGGGAGATTTTTGCTTTGACTTCAGTGGAACCAAGATTTGGCACATGCTGTTTAAACTTGGTCAACATGGTCCATGAAGTGGTATGATAGGGAAGTAGTTAAATGGCTCAGTTTCCTTTTCATTAACTCCTTTTCATTACAGTAGGCTTTTCAGTAGATTTGTGTGCAACTGGCTGGCATGAGTTCACATTGATTTTAGGGCTGGGAGATTAGAGAGAAAAATTATTCACAAAAATTATAGTGACTTCCAAAGAGAATTTTGCTTAAGCTCTGTTTGCAATAGTTTTGTTTGCTTTTGATCAACATTCATCCAAGGAAAGATTTGTTTGTTAAAATGTTTGTGGAAAATGAATTCTTAAACCTTAGCTGAGATTTATATAATCATAAAACATAAGCAGAAATAGTTTATGAAGATTAGGTCAGCTGATCAGGGAACAGAAACCATACCATGTACCTGGGGTAACCAGTCACACAGTTCAAGCATTCAGCTATGGATACTGAATATTCAAAGGAATACTTGCAGCAAACTATTAACAAGTAATCCACAGGCTGTAATTTGTTTGCATAATATATTCAATAAACAATTTCAGACAGTGTACAAATTTCTAACAAATACGGGTATGTTGTTGCGTTAATGAACAAGAAAAAGGATCGAATTAATTAATAAATTGTGTGGTGTTCAGGTCTAGTTTAAATTAACTTTTGCAACTGTCTCAGTGTATGTAATGTATGTACCCTTTGAATTTTGGTTTATGGTTGTGGTTTGTTAGAACCCAGTATTGTAGCCATGTAATAATTATAGCAGTAATTATAAGATAAAGGAGTGGAATTGATAGAATGCAAGAGACCTATAGGCCTAGCTAAGAATAGCTTAAGCAGTTAGCATAAGCGTAAGGCCTTATAGCCTGGGTAGGAGTAATTGCTCAAAGAGTTAGCATATTTAAGTAAACTAATAGTAACGATAAGTCACAAGACTTTATTCATTGTTTTGTCATAATCACAAGTGTTACAAACTGCTGATTGGTACAAACTGCCTTCTCGCAGTTATCTATCTGAGTATTTTTGGAGGGGAATATTAGCTAAGTAATATTACCATAGTAATCCAACTGATGTATATGTTAATACGTTTTGCTTAATTAATATACTAACCTATAGGATAAGGGCACCCCAATATTATGAGGGTGAGGAAGTTAAGATATGTTAAAGGAGGGAAGAGCTATGCATATATATGCATGAGGAAGACTATCAAGGCCTATAAAACATCTGGTCTCAGCTCAGGTACAGCTGTTGAAGTTTGTCATCTGCATGCCAGAGTTAGACAAGGATCTGCCTCAACCTTTAGAGCTCTCCCCAAGGATAGAGTGATAGAGTGAGTGAGTATATACCTGGTAATGGTGCCGGTTGCTCTGACAGTTTTATATTAAATCGCTTTACTTGTTTGCATTGTTTTATTTATTGGACTAATCATTGTAATCATAACACTTTTACAGTTACACAAGGTCTTCCCTGAGTGTGAGTGTTGCTGTCATGGCTGTGCCCCATAGGGCTCCTTGAATAATTCTGAAAATAGTGGGCCTGATCTTGAGACAAGAACCTACCAAATTTCAGAGTCCTAACTGGGCAAACTAAGCCAATAACCTAATCAATGAACAATCAAAAGATCAGGCAACAATATGGAAAAAGCAAAATTCTAAACAAGGCCAATGAGTTTTGTGAAGTCCTATGTGTTCCTCTTGAGTTTGCACGCAATAGGATTTGCAGGGAATGGTTTCATCCAGAAGGCTTATCACATGATCAACTGTTATTATAAAACCAAAATGAAGCTTCAAAGTTCAGTCTGAAAAAATACCTGCTGCTCCAGAGGCAGTAACGGTTTCACTTTCCATTTTGCTCTAGTGTTTGTGGGCCCTTGGGGTTAGAGTCCATTCTTTTAAGCTTGCAGAATGATATTTAAGCAGTAGTGATCCTTGTACGAGATGTTTGTGGAGAGAACGAGCACTGTTTACCCTCTGTAGAGTATCTTTTGTATGCGGAGTAACTGAGAAAGTTATTACAATAAAAGAAGCTAGGTGGCCAGGCAATTTTTTCTTTTATTCTCCATCAAAATTATCTGCCAAATCCTGAAGGCCATACTCAGACAAAATGCCCATTGAAGTTAATAAGTATTTTGCCTGAGTAGATGTCAGAATTTGGCCCAATGTTAAAACTTTATGAAGGATGTAGAACTAATTCCACTGAAATGTCTTAAGGCTTTTCTAAGTGCCAGCTATAGACTTAGTGTGACCTATGGTGAAGCTGGGAGTTTCTGGCATTGAATACAGGCTTTGAGAAATTAAGCAGTTGCTACTAAGTTCCTTTAGAGAAATCGGAAGGATTCTGTTTTATTAAGGGTCTGTTTCTGAGATTAATAATTAGTGATAGTCGGGGTCTTATTTTTAGAAATGCTGAACACCCATAGCCACAGTTGAAGTCAATGGGAGTTGCGGATGCTCAGCCCCTCTACAAATCAGGTCCTGCAGGGTAGATTTGAGTTAAAGGGACAAGCTTCCGAAACAATGGAATCTTTGATAGTGGTTATGGAATTACGGGGAACAAGGGTTTCAGATGTAGGACTTTTATTTGTGTTGTGAGTTTTCCTTGAACTACCAGTGAGCGGTTTGGTATTATATGGGGTTTCCACACTAATTATTGCACTAGTTGTGGGGCTTATTTTACAGAAAATGTGTGCGATCATTTTTGCATTGGGAAGTGGTTTGCTGAGACAGTATGTTATGAAGGGATTTGTTAAAGATTGATGCTTGGTAGAGTCAGGATATAGGGCTGAGATGACGGGATTTTAAATAAGAGTTGGTTTCTCTGATTATGATAATTTGTGTTAATTTCCAAAGTGACGTGAGATGTTCTCTGGGCTCTTTTCTTTCCCTTGCCTCTTTTTAGGCTGTGTCTCATTACTCTAGCTTCATTGACGGTGTGTGACGAAGTGGGAATGTTGTTAATGTTTTCTCTGAATATGTATGTGCCTCAGTTTCCCCTATGTGTTACTCAAGTATCTAGGCAGTGGGACAAAGGTGTGTGATACTTGCAGAGGCCCCTAGAGGGCAGATGTGACTGCCATATGGCTGCCTGGGCACAGACAATGGCCAACTCTGTATCCTGGCAACTGATGGCCGGGGCCCATCATCTGCAAGAATCAGCCGGAGGTGTTCGAGGACCAAGTCAGAGGTGGAGGCCAGGTGACCTGTTTGCCTGGGAAAGAGACACAGGAAGGAGGAGGGCAGCTAGGCGTGACTGAGGCTGGACTGCTGGAAGCTGGTCAGTCTCCTGGTTGAGACTTGGGGTGGGAGGGGAGCCCTGCGTTCTGGATCCCCCCAAGATGGACTTTGATGAATATTCCTAATTTCTCTGTTTACAAGATCTGTTCTACGCTGTGTTCCCAACGATTAATAACCCCTTGTGTTTTAGCTCACTGGCTGAGAGTCACTGCTGACTGCGGAGATGGGGCAGAATTCATATGGCCAGCATTTTTCTGTGCCCCCCACACACAGAAAAATGCAAAAAAAAATCTACCAGGGGATATGCACCTCTTCCCCGGCAGCCCAGGCAGCAGGTCTGTTCCAGCGTGCCTGGAGCAGCCTCAGAGACGGGGGAGGTGGGCTGGGTATGCATACCTATGTGGTTGATCACCTTGGGGGGGGGGCTGGGCGCACATACGTGCCTATGAGAGAGAGAGAAAGAATGACTCTGTCCCTCTTGCTTGCTACTGCAGCTTGCTGGCATGGAAGGGTAAGGCTTTTTATTATGCACATGGCAGGCTAGAGGCAGAAATGTAGCCGCCTGCCTGATCTCATTGTCTGAGATACAAATGTAGCAGCCTGCCTACGTAGTAACATTGTTAATGTTCCTATTGTTAGTTAACTGTTCCCATTCTCAGTCAATTCACCCAGGAGCATAAAACCTGTGAAAATTTTAAGGCCCCTACACTGCCAGAGTGACGTAAAGGAGCCTTATAAATGACAATAAGGGAATACCCAGCTAGGAAGATCTATGTGCTTTCTCACTTTTTTCCTGTGCCAAAGTGACACAGTGGAGTTACATTGCAGCTCAGGATTTATTTTACTTACCGATTTAAAAAAAAAGACTTTGAGGGCAAATAAAACATTTACCAAGCAGTCAATAAAATGTCAGGACAATCAGAACCATGCACTTTCCAAAGTACCCAGCCAGGTCCAGGACAATGATTAGCAAAAGCATAATACCTCCTGAACATATATCATATTCAGCTGTCAAAGTGCATGATGTTTATTGAAACAGGTTTTATTTGACAAACACTAAAGACTTATGGCTTGCGTCAAATATATGCTCTGAGCAATATGTAGTACCTGCTAATCTTTTTGTGCTAAATTGCACTTTGACTTCCAGTATATCTTTCCTCATCTTATGCTTCACTTATCATGTTTCAGAGGGCATCCAGGATGTTCTTAAGAGGTTTGCAGAAAAAAATTAGCATGTAAACATTAATAGAGATAGTGATTAAACAAGTTGATGAGTCATAAAGCTGTCATTAACCCTGAAACTGTCAGACTTCTTTAATATTGTGATACAAGGCGGGTTTTAATTCCATCTATTAGTATTTCATTCTAAGATGCCCGAAGTCAGTTCTTGAGAGGTTGGAGATTATGTGGGAGGAATGTTTGATGGCACTTACAAATGCAAATTTGTGCAAAATTGGTGACTTTATACCATACTTTCAAATTTTATATATCAACATAACAAATGAGCTCTCCTTGCAAACTCTTAGAGCCACATTTTCAAATATGGGTGACTAAAATACTCCACGTTTGCATATGTTTATGGGGCATTTGAGTGGCTTATTTGCATAATTATCTAATCTTCATGCAACAAAAGGTGAAAACTCACTCTTTTGCAGAGAACCTGTGCATTACTAAAGTCACACTTAAACACTCAAAATAGTGCTTGTGGGATTTTAGTGCTGCATAGGCCTTGTTCTGATTACCTCTATGGGGCGAATTTCACCCCAAATGCCTATTTATACACAATTATTACAGATGTAATTTAATCACTCATGTCTGAAAATGTAGCTTTCCATGTGACGTGTGTGTGCGTGTGTGCTCGTTTATTATGATTTAGGGCTGGATTTCACTGGACTTTGGTTTAGACCTTTAATGAATACTCCCATTTAATATACTATACATATATGTTAAAATTTCCAATTTAACAAACAAACACTGAAGCCAGAAAATATTTCATTCTTTGTCAACTTTATTTATTTGTAAACACTATATTTTTTTTCTTATTATGATCCTGCAGGAGTTCTGACCATCTGTTGCCACAGCTTTTATTTACTTTCCTATCAGTGCTGTAACCCAGCAACAGCATTGGGAACACAGAAATGGAAAATAGGATACACCAAAGGGCACCAATACCTGAATCATGCATTCACAGGAAATCAATCATATGAAATAGAGCCACCACATTTTAATAGATTTTCCCTTTGAAAGAGATGAAGAGGAAGATGTTAGCCTTTAACCCAGTTCAGGAATATGCACATTCCTGAGAATCAAGGCTTGCACTAATGAATTGCTGTGCATTTTCTTTATAGTGTCTTTGTATACATTCACAGATTCTAGTAACTAGCTGCTTTAGTGTCTCCCCCAACCCTAAGCGATGTTCTGGTAGCAGTAATGGTCAGGCGTGTTTTTTTTCTAAGTTTGGCAATGAGATTGGGACCTTTCTTTTGGATGTGGAACAGATGTTGTAGACACTGATGTTTTTTGTGATCTCTAGGCTGCACTACTGCAGTAAGCGTTACAAGAAAACCAGCTGAAAGTTTCCAGTATTTCAAAAAGCAGTTGCTCACTTAATTGATTTGTAGAAAAATGGCCCCTGGAATTGAAAAAGTTTGTAAACAGTTGTCTTTTCTAATTTTTTTTGTTATGCAAAATTTGTTATATTTTAATTGAAATTTGTATGGAAGATATTATCAGCATTGTTTACCAACATCTGTTTTGGGGAAACAAAAACCGTCAGTGTTTTCAATAATGTTCATTAAAAAATAAACTATGTGGGTCTATTTGTAACCTTGAAAAATGAAAACAACTTGGAAGTTTCAATTTTTTTCATGAACTTTATTTTTAAATTTCAACCAGCTGAGATTGCAAGTATATTCAAAATAGGCTTCCAGTTTGCTTCTGATTGTAATATGAAGTATTGACTGTACTCTGTGAAGCAATACGTGAATTTACATATTATCCTAACAGTTGAGAACTGCTGATGCAGTTGCTGTAGTTGGACTAGATTTGGGAGAGGAGGCCCTGAGCTCTGGAACTGATCTTATAAAGCTTGTTTGCTGACCTTTCGAGCGGATTGTAAAACATCTTTTTATTCCAAGTTTGGGCTTGACAGTAAGTGATTGAGTGTAACATTTTGTATTTCTGCTTGGGGAGGAGTTTTCTTTTGATGATATTAAGGTCTTAATTTGTACTTGGTGTTAGTGTTTTCATGTTATAAGTTTTCAGAGGCTTGGGATGGATATTTTGTAAGTGTAAATAGCTTTATGAAAGTAATGGGATTTAAATAAAACATTCTTTATTTCCTACTCCTTTGCATTCCCTTCCCTCACATTCAGAAATAATAATTTTAAGATGTATTTTCAAATATCCCCATGCTTCACCAGTTTTGGGGTATACACGAGAGACTATTTGATGACTTACCACCCTTTATCACAACTTACTCTGAAATAACTGTGGTGAGAATTTACAAAACGGTTTATGGTAAAACAAGGGTTGTGCGCTCTCATTAGTGACCACCATGGGTGTTGACTTGATTTCAATATAAAATAATGCAAAACCACTGGGGTTTGACTTTTGAATGCTTCCCTTTTACATACTTCATGAGTTATCTATAAAAAAATTTAGATGCCATTATCTAGTTAACCTCACAGTTTCATCCTATTCTGTTTGAGTCACCATTGTTCTAAGAAATATAAGAACTTGGTTCCAGGTCCTCAAAGAGATATAGGTGACTAACTCCCATAGAAATCAGTGGGAGTTATGCACCTAGAGACCTTTGAGGATCTGGATTTTACTGTCATGTGTAGTCGTAGAACTCTAATAACCCAAGATTATATATTACAGATAAAACTATGGTGGGCCTGCAATGAATGGACTACTTAGAAATCCTGGAGCTCACCGGAGGCTAATGAAATTATTTCACTTCTGCTTTAAATGAGTTCTGAAGAGCAAGCATGCATCAGTATAAAATCAGTTTGAATGCATCTTCTTTGAAATTCAGCTTCACAAATAAAATACAGTCCATTTATGCAGTGTTCTTGCTTATAGGGACATTTGTCATCAGAATGCAAAAAAAAAAAAAAAAGACATGCTTTGGAGCCAAAAACTGAATATATTTAAAAACAGATAGCTTTCGAGACTGAGAGGATTCCATTTCAATTTAAATGTCAGGCTCCATCAATGGATACAACTAGTCTTAGCTGGAGAAAGATCCTCTTATGATTCCTTTGGGACAGATTTTTTAAAAGGCTCAAAAGGCCTCAGTTTTCACACCTATAGTCAACTGAGGGCACAAAAGTACAGCCATTATTAAATGCATATGTAAACAACAGCAGTTAGATTTCTAACATGAAGGTGAAATCAGATTTCTGTCTGTTACAATTTGTGCCAGCAGATAATTGTGCCTGCAGTTCACTGCTGGTACGCAAGGAAAGGGGCTGTTTTAAAAGTTTTCACCTTTTCCCATAAGACAGAGAAGAAATCCCTGTGGACTCCACAAGAGTTTAAAAGAAATCAAATACATAGAACTTTTCATTTTAAAATATTAAATGGCAGTGAATGACATGCTTACAGTCTGTACGTACCTGTATGAGAAGATTTTTGATAGGAGAAGGCTCTCTAATCTAGCAAGCAGAAGGTATACCCCTACCAAAGTCCAATGACTGGAAGCTGAAGCTAAATAAATTCAAATTAGAAATAAAGTGCAGATTTTAAATGGTGAGGGTGATTAGCCATTGGAGCAATTTACCTAGGAATGTGATGGATTCTCTGTCACTTGAAGTCCTTAAATCAAGATTAGATGTCTTTCTAAAGGATATACTTTAGCTCAGCTAGAAGTCATGGGCTTGATGCAGGAATCACTGGGTGAAATTCTGTGCCCTGTCTTCTGAGAGAAGTCAAACTAGTTGATTATAATGATCCTTCTGGCTATAATATCTATGGATTTCAACTTGACTGCAAATTAAGCGACCTAAGACACTATAAAGAGAAATACACAAAAGGCCAATTTGAATTGTACCTTAGTAAACTACAGAGCTAGGACATATTGTTCTACACTGTGGCATATCATTAAGGTAGCAATAAATCAGGTAAAATTCTAAGCTGGTTAGGTGTGCACGTGGCTTTGTGGAAAGATTGATTAGCTCTCTTTGCCTTTCAGAATCAGTCCCTCCATCTCCTGTAGAGTGGATTCAGCAGTGCAGCCATGCCCTGCACATGTGTATGCGTGTGCAAATCTCAGTACTTGTCTATTCCTGTTCCAGATGCTCTGTATGATGTCATCACAGTGGGAGCCCCTGCAGCACACTTTCAGGGATTTAAGAATGGTGGTCTTCGGAAACTGTTGAGTAAATTTGAGGCAGAAAGGCGAAAGTAAGTACTTCTATAAATAATGATGATCTGCTAATCAAATAATAAAACAGTCTTATTTATTAAATGCATAACAGATGGTCTGTTTGGACTAGTTAAGGCATCTTTCATGAAACAGTTCATTAATCTTCCTCTCTCCAATAGATTTCTTTAAATTTGTTTGGGATATTTTATTTAGGGCAAGATTTATTTTTTAACTCTGGACTCAACATTAAAGACCTTATAATGTTTTCTTTCTCTATTCCAGGGAGCCTAAGGAATATTTAAGATTGGAAACATGTTGCTAAGAAAGTGCTTTGTGCTAAGTAGAGAGTAATTGTAGCTACATTTCAATGTAGTTTCTTTTAATAGTTACATGTATCATGTCTATAGATAGCACTTTCCATTTTTCAGAGCACTATCGAAATGTTAAATAATCTTCACAAGTCCCCTGTGAAGTAGGTAAGAAAATATTATTATTCCCATTCTGCAAAATGGGAAGCAGATTCAGAGGGAGGGAAAAAAAGCCTTATTATAGCCCCAGTTCTGCAAAAGCACTTATGCGCATTCAACATTACACTTAAATATTTTGTTGACTAAGCATGTGCTGTGTGGAATTGGGGCCCTTCTGAAGTTCTGAGCAATTGCAACTCCCCCTGAATTCAACTTTAGTTGTTAGTTCTCTGTGCTTTTGAAATTCAGGCCTCCAATGACTAGGTCAAGCCTATACAGTCAATAAGTGGCACTTTGATTAGAACTCAAGGTACTGACTCCCACTGGCAAGCTCATTACTCTAGATCCCCATGATTCTCCATAGAAGAGAAACTACCTCTTCAATCTAATGCTCAGCAAAGTTTATTATTATTAACAGTATCACAAAGAATAAAACAGGAGATGATACAGATAAACTATTTATTTCAGTGTCACTTAGAAAAGGTTTTGCATTAACCCCTCAATGCACACAGCTTGTATTTTCTCTAGTCGTCCATCAATACAGAATGCATTTTAAGCTGTCAGCAGGAACTCCACACCTACCTCTCTGATGCCAAGGGAGCAAAATGAAATGCAATATATTTAGCTTTGAAGGCAAGTGAATGACGGAGCTGCTAGTTCATAACGTTCTAAAGCAGCACCAAGGGGTAGTGCTAGAAAATGGCTAGCTCACACATATCTGACACTTCAAAAACTATTATTTCTTTACTATTTTAAGTTGCATAGATATAAAAATTTTAAGGATAAAATTTCCCTGGACTGTTTACAGACAAGAAAGCTTGAAAGTGCAATGTAAATATCATTCAGTTTTAGAGATTTTCATGAAGTGGACTTGGTGCTGAGAGTAATTTCATGTTCTGTTGCCGGTGAATGGCTATACGTACAGAAGGCTGACCCCCTTCTCTCTCAAGAGTTGGGAGGCAAATGAGATTTGCATTCACAAATACAAAACAAATAATCATATAATGACATTTTATAAGGCAATTCTTCAAAAAAGGCCTCCAAAATTTGTGCCTTTTGCACACTAGCAAAAGTGTGCAAAACCTGTCTTTGTGTGAAAACTTGTGTGTGCAAACAATACTTTGCACTATTATACTGCCTTCTATCAGAGGGTCTCAAAGGACTTTACACAGATTAATGCATTAACCCTTTCAACATCTGTTTGTATTTTCATCCATGTTTTATGGGTAGAAAAACTAAAGCATAGAGACATTAAGGCCACTGTTTTCAAACTTGGAAGCCTAAAGTTACCTAAAGAGACAGTTACCTACGTATGTTAATTTCAGTAAGAACGGTTAGTGCTGAGCACCTTTGATAACCAGCCAGTTATTTAGCTGCCTAACTTAGTCCCCCATGTTTGAAAATTTTAACCAAAGTCTTACCAAAAGTGTGTGTCAAATTCAGGAATAGTGCCCAGTTCTTGACCATCCAAATCCTTTGCTTTCCCTTATGTGCATTCACATGCCAGTGTGCAAATGTGGATATTACATGTACAGATGAAAGTGCATGCTATTTTTAAAGTCCACTTTTGAAAATTTGGCCTTTAACATAAATATGTTTCGGGGAAAGCTTTTCCTTGTGGTAGTGAAGGCAAAAGACAGTGAAGTATAAGTGATGTTTTTCTTTCTGGCCATTGTTAAAGAAGATATCTCCTCCCCAAGTAGGATTCTGCCTTCCGAATCATGGCTGGTTTGACAGGAATGTGACTTTGCCCAGTACATTTGCTCTGGGCTGCCATACTCTCCCTCTTACCGCCCCCTCCTATTTTTCCCAGTGCATGTGTTGCACCTGCATCTGATTTCAAAGCTAAGGAGGATGGTGGGAGGTTCCTGAGATGCACAGTATGCCCTTAGCTATCAGAATCACATCTTACAAAGAGTTTAAATTTTAACATTTATTTTACACATGCTTGACCTCGTTGAAATATAGCTTCTTGAAGCTAGTTGAAATATACGAGAAACTATTCCAACATTGAAGTTTCCATTACACAACGCTCTTTGCTTCAGGAGTAGTTTGCTAGCTCGCCTTCAGAGTAGTTTCAGGATCCCATAGAGAGTGGGGACAGATATTGACTGTTATGTTTAGTGCTCTCTGTGTCTGAATTATTTAACAAGTACACTGAATTTTTTTACATATGTAAATGATTGAACAATATTTTAAAATGTATGTACGTTGCATTTGCTAGTGTATTTCATAAATTGAGTTTAATTATTCAAATTACTTCCCATTAGAATGATTTGCATTTGTATTGATACTTTCATTGAGAAAAGAACAGGAGTACTTGTGGCACCTTAGAGACTAACACATTTATTTGAGCATAAGCTTTCGTGTGCTACAGCTCACTTCATTGGATGCATAGAATGGAACATATAGTAAGAAGATATATCTATATCTATATATATAGATATAGATATATATACACACACACACACATACAGAGAACATGAAAAGTGGAGTAAGAGGCTAATTAATTAAGATGAGCTATTATCAGCAGGAGAAAAAAACTTTTGTAGTGATAATCAAGATGGTAATCAGTTGACAAGAAGGTGTGAGGATACTTAACATGGACAGATAGATTCAATATGTGTAATGACCCAGCCACTCCCAGTCTCTATTCAAACCCAAGTTAATGGTATCTAGTTTGCATATTAATTCAAGCTCAGCAGTTTCTCTTTGGAGTCTGTTTTTGAAGCTTTTCTGTTGCAAAATTGCCACCTTTAAGTCTGTTACTGAGTGGCCAGAGAGGTTGAAGTTTTCTCCTACTGGTTTTTGAATGTTATGATTCCTGATGTCAGACTTGTGTCCATTTATTCTTTTGTGTAGAGTCCGGTTTGGCCAATGTACATGGCAGAGGGACATCGCTGGCACATGATGGCATATATCACATTGGTAGATGTGCAGGTGAATGAGCTCCTGATGGTGTGGCTAATGTGATTAGGTCCTATGAGGGTGTCACTTGAATAAATATGTGGACAGAGTTGGCATCGGGCTTTGTTGCAAGGATAGGTTCCTGGGTTAGTATTTTTGTTATGTGGTTTGTGGTTGCTGGAGAGTATTTGCTTCAGTTAGGGGGGGCTGTCTGTAAGTGAGGACTGAGCTGTCTCCCAAGATCTGTGAGAGCGAGGGATCATTTTTCAGGATAGATTGTAGATCTTCGATGATGCGCTGGAGAAGTTTTAGTTGAGGGCTGAAGATGACAGCTGGTGGCGTTCTGTTATTTTCTTTGTTGGGCCTGTCCTGTAGTAGGTGACTTCTGGATACTCTTCTGGCTCTGTCAATCTGTTTTTTCACTTCAGCAGGTGGGTATTGTCATTTTAAGAGTGCTTGATAGAGATCTTGTAGGTGTTTGTCTCTGTCTGAGGGATTGGAGCGAATGCGGTTGTATTGTAGAGCTTGGCTGTAGACAATGGATCGTGTGGTGTGTCCTGGATGGAAGCTGGAGGCATGTAGGTAAGTATAGCAGTCAGTAGGTTTCCGGTATAGGGTGGTGGTTATGTGACCATCGCTTATTAGCACAGTAGTGTCCAGGAAATGGACCACTTGTGTGGATTGGTCTAGGCTGAGGTTGATGGTGGGATGGAAATTGTTGAAATCATGGTGGAATTTCTCAAGGGCTTCTTTTCCATGTGTCCAGATGATGAAGATGTCATCAGTGTAGTACAAATAGAGTAGAGATGTTAGGGGACGAGAGCTTAGGAAGCGTTGTTCTAAGTCAGCCATAAAAATGTTGGCATACTGTGGGGCCATGCAGGTACGCATAGCAGTGCCGCTGATTTGAAGGTATATATTGTCCCCAAATGTGAAATAGTTGTGGGTGAGGACAAAGTCACAAAGGTCAGCCACCAGGTTTGCTGTGACATTATCGGAGATACTGTTCCTGATGGCTTACACAGCTGCTACTCTGAAACCTTTCATTGAGAAGCATCTCAAAGCAATTCCCCTTTTTGGTCTCTCTTCTCTTCTCCTTTTTCTATTTGTTCTTTCCAAACACCTATTAAGCCTCACGAACACTTTTCATTTCCCCCACTTTTTCCCCTCTTTTATTGTGCCTTTACCCTAGTACAAGCTCCAAAAATAATTGCCTGCGGGGATCTTAGGCAGGAAAGTCTGTTTTTTCCCCTTGCAGGCCTGAGGGAAGGGAGCTGCAGCAGTGATTCATCTTCTCTTCTCTCTCTAGGGCCCTGGTCAGCAACACTCCTGCTCCTTCCCTTCACTGGCACCCCACTATGCAATTCTGAGCAGGGTGACATGAAGTAGTTATTCTCAGCAGATCAAAGTGGCTGAAGGGCAAAATCACAGGGAAAATATTTTGTATTTTCTCCTCAGTCCATCTGGGATGGAATTGATGAAGCCCAGAAATGGGTTTTTCTCATTTATTTTTCTCTCCCCATAACTCCTATGTATATTAATATGACACCCTTCATCCAAATGGATCCTAAAACCCTTCAAAAAAGTTGGCTGAGCATACAAATTATAAGATCCTCATCACCCATCAATTTGATGCACTCTATCCAGCGTTGTGGGGAAATGTG